AGTGTTAAACGAAATAAACATATCTCCGGTCACAGTTATTTCTGTTAATGTTGCAAAATAATAACTTGGATTAGATGAGCATTGATTCCGTAAATAAATCTGAAACTTATGACTGTTTTTTCAAGTCTATTTGTTTAATAAAACATCGTCGAACATTAATAGTCACTTATTTCACTAGTTTTTAAGAACTATTCAATGTTGCGTTAATCTAATCTAATTAATAATGATAATATATACTATGATACTTTTCGATTTATATCCATTGGAGTGAATAATACGTTTAAATAGTAATACTAGTTTCAGATTTTACTAATGTATTTCTACTTCAAAAATATCGTTATTAATACAAACCATCAAATATTTAATGCGAAGGATGAAAGTGCCTAAATTTTTTATGAGGCATATTCAAACTACATGGCATTAAGTGCCTGATTAGTATTATCTAAAGTTAAGTTACAATAGTTCTTAGTACTGATCGAATTCGTTTAGAGAGGTTAGATTATAGCTACTAGTCTAACTAACTTGACTTCATGATGAACTTTGTTTGCTTTTGAATAGTTTGGATAAATTATTTGAAGCATTATGTTCAGATTGATTTTAAGTTAGCACTCACTGATCAGACATTTTTCTCCATATCGAAGAAACTGATATTCTCAATGGAATCTAATACGGTATCATCTACTAACACATTCAAAGGTCTTGGAAATTTTTTTACCACAAGAAAATCAGGATAAAATAAACCTTGTGTTTTTATATTCATCTGATAGATATCAGTTTCCAACGTGAACTGTTAGTAAATGAACTCCTGAATTTCAAAATATTTTATTAGTTTTAACCATTACACACTCAATAGAGCAAAAAAGTGTAGTTTTATATCTTATATTAGATATCGTTCACTGTTAATGGATATCTATTTGAATTTCGTGAACTCTCTTCTTACTTGGATATTCCTTGGTTGTTTTATTATTAAACAATTATGACAATTACATTCAAATGAGTATCTTCTCATTGTTATTTAGGACTGCAATTGATCAGTCTCATGTTGACATATGTGCATCCTGTGCAGATTGCCTCGCTATATCATAAGTTCTATAATCGAACACCTTGTAAACACAGGTCACTCAATCAAGACAGACTCTGCGTTCAAAGTCATCTACAAGGTAAGTAGAAGCCTTCCGAAGACAATTAGACTGCATCTTCTTTGCATTGCCGAGGCAATAGCCATACATTTTGAAAGACCAGAACTATGTGTACAAAAGAGACTGGTACAACCTCTTCATCTACCATGGTCTTAATGTATTAAAATTTTTCTCCTTCTTCATACCCTTGTTCCCTTACAGCCACCTGATTCACCTTCCATCTTCCCTTCAAATCTTCTACCCCCAACCGGTTTGTTTTTATTTCCACGATCTTTCCGATTACATTTCATCTCTGTTTCAACATTTTATTTTATCATGCTGAGCCATCCTTACCCGATGAATACTTAAGCCATTTACTATCAAACGATTATTTACTTTCCTTGTTTTATAAAAATTTTTTTTCTAATACCTTTGTTTATTTAACCTCACTGTCACCATGTATAACAGAAGTTTATTATCAGTATTATTATCACCCTGTAAAAATAAGTATATATATTTGCGATTGTACAGCTTTGAAAATGAATTCGCCGAAAAGAGAACTCTTCGCTTAACTAATCTTTCTTTCTTACTTAATATCATAAAGTCACAAGCTTTTTAGGTAATGATAGATAGTGAAGAACGTGATGGCATTTGAAGCGAACGGTACTGGGTTGGAGTCCCTGAGTGAACATTAACTCTGGGATGCATGTATATCCAGCTGACGAGTCTCAAATAGGACGGAACGTGCGTCCTGAATTCCACTGCTAGCCACTATCCATCTTTGTTTAATTATAGAGCTTGTTTGTTAATATTAAACAGTTTGTCGACTAAAATAAAACATGGGTAAAAATTATGTCATTCACAAATGTTATTTTTTATTAGTTTACAATATATTCATGTGTTCATCAATATAATGACCTCGAACTTTGTTTGTTTAATATTCTTCTTATATTGTTTCCGTTTCCTCTTTTCACTTTTAAAAAGTTAACGGTAAAATGTTGTTTTTAAACGAAAACAAAATTATCTAAACAATTTTTTAAATGTTCAGTTGTTATGACATTTAAAAAACGACATCAAGTGATGAACAAACGATAAGGAAATCAGTTTGAATAACAATAAGAATAATGAAAACAATTAGGTAATTTATATATTACAGATGAATAGTTATTATAGCAAACTTCCTTATGTGATAGAATTATATTTACTAAATTGCAATTCATTAATTCATTATTAAATTGTTTATTACAAAAGGCTATAAATGTTCTAACTTTGTCCTAAATTTGTTGAAATAAATGATTTTAAGATTTTAATCTGTAGTTGATCAACTATACAGAATATTCCTTTATTTTACTTAATTTATAGTTTCATCCCAGAAGTAAGTAATCAAGTTAACAGTTCATAATTAATCTACAATTAATCAATCAAAACACAAAAAGGAATCTGGCACATGTATGTTTTAGTCCAATTCGCCATACTGTTAGGTTTATGATTAATTATTATTATTATTATTAATAACGTAAATTGTTTGAAAGTAAAAAGTGATCTTCATTGATTATACCAACCGATCAAAAGGTTGTATTTGGTTTATGATGTGATTACAAACATTGTATTTGATTCATGTATATATGCAATGTTATTGAAAGAGATATTAACATTTGAAGCTTCATCATAATGTATTATTTTGTAAGTTACAGTAGATAAGCAATGGTTTTTCTTCCATAAATTCTTGTACTTATTACTCATTTACTAATTAATAAACTTTGATACTGTCGGAATAAAATGACAATTAAACTGGTAAATGATAGTTTTATTTCTAATTGTTAATACAAACTTTGTATCTCAGTGACTGATTATGATCACTGATCTGTTTAAATGACAGTGAAAATAATATTTACTCTCAAAAACCCAAAGTTGATATTTAAAAATATCTTAAAGACCATTAAGTCCAAATACTCTGATGATGTTAATAGGATTCTGATCAAAAATTAGCATGTAAATCAGTCAGTAAATATTTATAATTCAAGTCAATAATGTTTCCTACAGTCATGCAAAAGTGTTCTTTAATGATAATAAAATATATTTACTTCTTTCAGCTCAATATAACAGGTCTAATTCTTTAAATTAAAGCAAACAGTATTTTAATATTAAATCAAAATAGGAAAAATGCAAACATTTTCCACACTTATTTTTGTCATGGTCTGAACAGACTAAAACCTAGAATGTGTAAATAGCTGTTGTAATTCATTTGGAAATGCTTAAGTAAAACTCACATAAGGAATTACACAAAGTATATCGGGAAATACTTGATCTTTCCGTAAACCAAAACAAATAAACCTCTGAATGAAAAACTAATGGTCCATAATTCTGTATATCAGTCATCTGGTTATATATTTTAATTACCATCCAATGAAATCAGTGGTTGATTACTTTATTATTTTTATCTTCGGATCAGTTATTGAATGTTTTTCACTATGATTTAGAAAGTTCCATCACAAATCAAGTCGCTGATAGTCATGTGACTACTGTTGTGATTTTTTGTGGTTTGATCAACTCAAAGAAACTTTTCATCATGGAATAGTAATAGATGGAGAACAGTGGAAACGAATAATCATTAAATATTTGATCCAACCAAGCTTGAATTTCAACCTGAGCAATCACCTCGCTATAATAACGCTATTTTTGTTTCATACAGTACTCGAAAGAACATAACTTTGTTACTTACATCGATACCTTATTATCATTCACAACTACAATGTTGTCATGTTATATTATTTAAAATAATAACTGGATTTGTTTGATTAACAAAAAAGAAAATCTCTATTTAAATATTAGATCAAGTGACCCAAAATGTTAGTAATAAAGAGATGAGATAATATGGAACAAATAAGAGGCTGTTACACCATCTCTAGTATTAAAAATGGTTTAAAAATGCATGGATCATATTCAAAGTGGGGGTACATATTTTTTGACATATAAGAGAGGTCTTGGGTTCGAACCCCGAGGCGAGTGATCGTGGGTGCGTACTGCTCAGGAGCCCCACAATAGTACGAAGTGGCCGTCCAGTGATTACAGATTTTCCTTGGTGTTCTAGTTTCAATTGACTCATAACTTCAACTATTAAATTACTATAATATCCACAAAACCCCCTTCTGATATAAAAGATTTTTAAACATTTTATTTGTTGAAATTGGCACAGTCAAAAAAATGCGAGCCTGGAAGTTTTTTTATCAGGAATCTAAACTTTTTGGGAATTACCAGTAGTTTCATCTGGCTATAGAGAAGTATGATTAGTTGAAAATTTGAGCTTCTCGTTTATATATCTGAAACCTATTAATCTCCACTTAATATATTATGTAAACTTACCATTCTTCAAATTTCTTTGCCATTGTTTTATAATTAAAAAAAACAGTTTTTCAAAGTGTATACATTTTTAACTGTAAATAGTTTCATTAACTGAGAATAATGAAGAAAAATATTTATAAAAAAATTATTGAGTATATCTTTATGTAAAGCCGTAAACCTTATCCGTTACCAAGGTGACGGAAAATCAATAAATACATTTCTTAAATCAAACAATACTCTTTATCTGTTAGCCTTATAAGTACCGGTTAGATGACAGATATATATATATATATATATATATATATATATATATATATATATATATATATATATATATATATATATATATATGAAAAATAAGTATAAAATCAACAATATTATTTACTATTCAAAATGAAATTCACATAAGCATATTTGCTTAGAAATATCTGAATAAAATTATACTTGTTTTTGATTGGTCAATTTAAAAAAGGGCGAAAATTCAAAATAGGTGTTCATTACCATTACCAATTATATCCACTTAAATATAAATATTAACTAATACTGAATGAGGCTGAGAGTTGATTGGATCCTTTTTTTTCTAAAAAAAAAAATTTTGTTTTGAATACAAAACATGTTGACTAATTACTGAAAGTGGTTATGTATTTAATGATTATATAAAATAAACAATTTTATTGATTCTATTTAAAATTCGTTACAATATGGATCATAGGAATTCTGATAAATAACATTGTACTCATTTTGTTTGTATCATTATAAGTAAATAAAGACGTTTACATAGTAACAATTGTCATTTTATTTTGATAAACATGAAATATAAAGTCATGTTGATTACTTTCATGATTGTATTATGGTTTCATTTGGTTACTATTATAAATTGTTTTCAACGTAAATATGATAAACATACAGTTGCAAGTATACCAGGTGATATAATGCTTGGTGGATTGTTTCCTGTACATACATCTGGTGTAACTACTTGTGAATCAATTAATCCTGAAAGAGGAATTCAACGAGTTGAAGCAATGCTATTTACATTAGATGAAATTAATAATAATACAAATTTACTACCAGGTTTAACTTTGGGTACTACAATACGTGACACATGTTCAGATACAAATCATGCACTTGAACAAGCATTGAAATTTGTACAAGCAAGTACCGGAAGTAGTAGTCAATTGAATAAAATGAATGAACAATCAGAAAATTTAAACACACGTGGAGTTGTCGGTAGTTCATATAGTTCAGTAACAATACTTGTAGCAAATTTATTTCGTCTATTCTCTTTACCACAAATATCTTATGCATCAACAACTGCAGTATTAAGCGATAAACGTGCATTCCCATTATTTGCAAGAACTGTACCTTCGGATGTTGTGCAAGCTCAGGCAATGGCTACATTAGTCTCGGCTCATAACTGGACTTATGTTTCTACAGTACGTAGTGCAGGTGATTATGGTGATTCCGGTATGGATGCATTTTGGAAAGAAGCTGATAAACTTGGTGTATGCATAGCAGCCAGAGAAGTGATTAGGGGAAATACAGGTCCTGAAGATTTAGATAATATAGTTAATGTGCTTAGCAAAGACTTTGCAAAAGCTAGAGTCGTTGTTTTATTTACCGGCATGGATCACACAAAGTTATTATTAGATGCAGTTAGAAGAGCTGGTTTAGTTAATCATTTCGTTTGGATAGCTAGTGACGGATGGGGTAGAGAAAACGTACCTGTATCAAATAACTCAAGAGAAGCCAATGGTGCGTTAACTATAGAAATTCAAGCCGAACCGATTAAGGCATTCACAGATTATTACCTTTCTTTAGGTAGAGAAAATCATAGGAATCCTTGGTTCAGAGAGTATTGGCAAGATTTAATACAATGCAGAGAAAGTTCAACTAAGAGGCGAGAAAGAAAATCGACCAATTCTAAGCGTTATTTCATGAGTAAGCTATCAAAAAATGAGACAAATTTAGAAAATTCTCATGAAATATCAAGTGAAACATCATCATTACCGTCCTCATGTAGTGACAGTCCAGATTTAAGACTACGTGACATTCTTGGACCAGATTTCAAACAAGAAGCAAAAATACAATTTATCTACGACGCAGTTTATGCATTTGCTTCTGGATTACATATACTTCAGAAAAAACTATGTCCTGGTAATCCTCTCCATCCAAAATGGAATAAAAGAGATTGTCTAGAAAAAATGCTCAGCTATCCTGGAACTGCTTTCTACCAACTAATAATTAATACATCATTTACTGGTGAGTTTATACATCAGTTATATGTTTCATTCGTTAAAATCATTTTTGGTCAGCGCCCAACAGCTTAGACCAGGTATATACTGTCAGTGAGATCTTTACATATTTAGCAAGTATTAAGTGTATCAATGAAAAAGAATTTACTTACAGACACACTCTCCACTTGTAATTATTGTGTTAAATCTTGGTAGACAGCAAATAAACGATACTGCTGAAATGTGGCTAAAAGTTTGTTCATAATAATAAATAACAATAAATGTGTTGAAATTGTGTGTAGAACTAATAACGTGCTTATATATGTATGGTATGACTCTAGTTAGTCTCTTCTTTTGAGGTTCTTTAAAGTGAAGCCTCGAATAAATGTATACGAACTTTACAACCCTAAGACGATGCACTATTTATAAGATACATTTCATTAATAATACCATTTTCCTTGGATACTCAAAAAATTCCAAAAGGTTTTTGAAAAACAAGCAAAGAAGAACTATAGTCATTTACCCTTAAGTTGAAATCAATTGTGTTGAGAAATTACCTTTTTATATTATCCCAACACAACCGGGTATGTCTTGGCAACAAACAGTTCTGTCTCTTCATTTCTTGTTTTGTTTATTTGTATGACTTTAAATAGATCAGGTACAACATGATTTGAGGAGCGAAATGAAATTTTTCCATTTACGGCTTCTCATTAGCCTCATATAGCATGAATTTACAATTATTAATATAAATATAAATAAATGTTTACCACTCTCGGTTTATGATGTATGAATAACTGTTCTAAACGCAACCAAAAATACTATAATAATGCAAATATGGCACAAAGTGTATAAATAAACCTAGCTAAGATCGATATGTATTTACGTTGGAAATATGTAATGCATAGTAGTATATATGTTATAGTTACTAATCGTAATCAAGATAAAAAAGGTTATGTATGGATAATGAAATTAATGAATAATTATATAATCCTTAAACATATTAAGAAATAAGAGTTTGATATTAGAAGGCAAAATATACTGGATGATTGAAAAATGTTAATAAAGCTTGTTTGATGAAACATTCAGTCACCGTAGGAGAGAAAGGTCAATCACATTTTCCTTTTGTATATATAGGTCAGGCTGGAAACATTTGATATCGATTGCATCTACAAAACGGTCTGCATGTAAAAACACTTTAAATGAATTATAGATTTCTAGTTAAACAATTTATATTTAAGGTCTTAAAATATACAACATACATGACTAGCAACTGAATACGTCAAATTTCGGATAAACTAGTTGGTTCATGAATTTTATTAGCCTAATTATCTCTGTGTTTTCGATACGTTTCATAACATTTCCAATAAATGTCACAAAATTTCATATTGATTATTCTATCCAACAAACTCCTTAAAACCAGTACTTGAAATTTGTGGAAGCTGTACAACATTCATATATTAAGTCCCAAATGTTTTCGGCGCGATTGCTTTGTACAAGGTTGTAGATATTCACTGTTAAGGAGTCCAAAACTGAGAGAAAACATATGCTCAGTGCTTCCTGGTTTCCAATGATGATCTAGCTAGGATCAGTTCGTGACCCACACTATTAAAAACGTATAATTGTTTTACCTTAAAAGAAAATTTCAATTCGAGTGTACAACACTAATTAGTTACAGTATTAAATAATATTCATGAAATATTCTAAAATCTGCAAATGATAACTGGTGAGTATCAACTAGAATTTGCAAACATATAAAGAATAATTTGTGATTACCGATGATGAAAACATTACATTTCAATTGAACGTGATCTGAATTTTTGATTGAGATCATTGATCAATCACTATTAAGCCATCATTAAATACGTAGAAGCGCTGAACGGCCGCATCATCCTAGCATGAGATTCCTCAGTGTTGCAAATCCACGATCCCGCTCGTGGTATTCAAACACAGGACATTTGGTCTCACGTGCGAACGCTTAACCTCTATACCAATGATCCGAGATCTAACAATGTTAACGTCTAGCGTCAACCAATCCACGAAATTGCGCGACTATCTCCCATTGTCTTCGGTGGGTAACTGTCGCACATTCGACACAGATTAACTTCACTGTTCATGGCTTATAATTTGAACTTTAAAAATTACCTTTTGAAGTGATGATTATTTTTTTCCTTTGAATTATGCACTCAGATTCATTTCTTTACATATGCAGATCTATTTTTATATAATAGTAATTTTATTTTGATTCTGTCATACTAAATAGTGTAAAGCATCCTTCCCCAGAAAATGAACTATCATAAGTATTATGTGATAAAATGAACATTAAATATGTACACAATGAATAAAAATAACGATGGCAACAATATTTGATTAGAAAAAACAACTTTTTTAAGTAAGAAAATATTATTAATTGAAATTTATTTGTTTAAATAGAAATTAATTCTACTGTCGGATTCAATTTTCAATTTTCAATTTTGTTTATTCTCTTTATAGTTTCTCTTTTTATTTTGTTCTTGAAATTTTAACAAACCACATGCCAAAATTTATTTTAAAAGAAAATTCGCTTCATTCTATAATTCAATATTAAAATATAAATAAATAAAATACCGACAGGATAAGTCAATAAACGGATAATTTCAAAGAAATAGGTTGTATTTTTTTAGAAAAAAAAGGTATTTTACATGGATTAAGAACGTTTTGAAAAATGTTCTATCTTTTGTGTTTTCTTAGTAACAAAACAGGAGTTACAAAGAAGATGTGTATCGTAGTTTTCTTATTTTAATAATTAACTGACAAATAACAATATTCAATAGATATCATCAGGGTGAAAAAAGATCAATAACAGAATCTTTTTAAAATAGATACCTTCATCAAAACTCATTAAGTTTAAAGATGTTTGCTCAAGATCCGTTCATTTGCACAACTGAAAACATATTTTCTTTTATGATTTCAATTTATGTTATATACAATTGAACCTATAAACAATAACTCAATCATTTATGTTCTTGACGCTAAAATTCTAATGAATTTTCACCTGTTGGAAATTCTTTCTAAAAATTCCCTTTTGAATAAATATTGCATGTTAAAATTATCCCTGACATTATAGTTAAACAAATAGGTTGATTATGTAATGGCATCTTATGCTTCGAAATGATACATTTCGAAATAGGAATTTTGTTAGAAATTTTGTTTGAATTATTATTTTAAAAAAATTGTTTATTGATCACATTTTGTTGTTTTAATTATTTTTTCCATGTAACTTTAGTTAGTAAAATTTTAAACTTTTATCCAATATGTAGCCTAAACAAGTCGAAATGAACCAGCCAGACAATATAGTGAAAATTCTCATTTTGACATTTGCCTAATAAAAAGGAACGACCGAATGGAGCGAAGAAATTTCTTTTCAATTAATTTTTTTAATCATGGCTCTACATTAACAGATATGTACGACATACAATAATGAAATAACGCTCATCCAGTAGATACGTTACGTAACAATTACATGATGACATTTCGATTATAAATTAACATTGAGCAATCGGAAGAAAGAAGAAGAATAATAATCAAAGTAATTATTCGAAAATCAAGAAATTGCTACGTTGCATAACATATGAAAAAGAGAAGTACCAGAATATTTTAATGAATGGTCAATAGAATAGTAGTTATGCAACAATCAAGAGATGAATGTTGAGTAAACAACAACAAAAAATAAAAAGTTAAAATAAAACAAAAGCAAAATCGAAGAAGTACGAAAATAGCTCTACTACAAGCGCTTATATATCAATGACCAAGGTAGCGAAAGTGGTTGTACAAATTTCTTTTGGATGCAAAGGTTACGTTTGTGAACATGGATTGCAATGACGTCAGCAATATGCAATAGACGCACTCGTAAACCATGTGGCATATTTGATGGAATATAGTAGATGAAAAACTAATTGAAAAGAAATTTCTTTGCTCGATTCGATCCTTCTTCATTTACCGAATGTCAAAATGGAAATTTTCATGATAAATAATAATATTCAACTGATACAAAACAAGTTTAATTATTGTCATTCAATGTAAATAAACATTGAGTTTTCTAGAAAAAATTTTTTTGTTTTTTTCATTGAAAATGAAAGTAAAACTGAATTGAAAAATATGATGTAAAGTTTTGTTTATTTAAGTTTGTAAGTAAACTCTTATTTTAAAATCATTGAATCGTATTGCATATCATAATGTAAATATCATTATCAACATTTGATTTGATAATTTCGAATAAATTGAGTACTGGGTAGATTGTTATAAATAAAAATAATATATTCGTAGTATCGCGAATGAGTAGAAAAATTAAATTTTCTGATGTTTTGTGACCCAATGTAAGCGACGTCCTCAGAGAATAAATAAACACATTAAAATTAATTCAAGTTTAAATAGTACACAAGACCAACACAAGAAGTGGCTTACATTAAGTCATGAAACATCCGAAGATCTAATTTTTCTAATCATTTAGGATATTACAAATATATCACTTTATTAATATCATGACGTAAATGTATATTTTCAGTTAAACAATAAATGTACTCATATAGTATCATTCAATACTTCGACATATTTAAGTTTGGAAGTAGTGAATCACTGAAATATTTCATCATGCTCATCTTTATTAACTATCTGAGATCATCTTACACCTAAACATGTCGAGCATATGATTATATAAGAACTAGTTTATCAGCCATAAAAATAAAGTATACATAATTTTTGTCATATATGTATATATATGATTTAGAAAGAACCATATGCTTAGTTTTCCGCTTCAATGCGAAAATTAATTACTGAATAGTGAAGTGTTTTTGTTTAGCAAAGTAAAGAAAAAATAACATAAGAGTAAACAAAATATGATGAAATATGTATATGATTAAATCTTAAATATTGTTAAGTATTATGTTATAAGGATATTCATTTGGTTAAATGATGACTGTGATGTTATTAACCATATTGTGTTAGCATTATTTTTTGTTAAAATCAATAATTTTCTTTAAAAGTTCTATCGTA